GACGTGGGTTTGGAAGAATGGAACGGATGGACGTTGGAAAAGCTAGAGGAGGTGATAAAGATAAGCAAAGCTGGGAAGTAGGAAAATAAAAGATACTTTCTGGGAACACTGAATAAAGGAGATTTATGGGTGAACAGGATCCAGTTACGGGATTCAACAATAAACATAGGGCTGGTCCTTGAGATACTGCCATCTATTCCTGTTATTCCTGTTTTAAAACTTGTTGCCTACTGAATAAAGTTCAAACCCTTTAGCAGAGAATTTCATACTTTGGCCTTCATGGACTTCTTCTATTTGTTTCTCTCACCCAAGACTAAAGTTTCCCAAATAGCCCATCATAGACATGTTTATGACCCTGGCATTCTGCTTACACGGTTCTCTGACTGGAAATGCCCTTCTCTTTTTCTGCCTAGTCAACTATCACCATCTCTGTGAAGCCTCTTTCCACCTTCACTCTCCTTTCCTTTGGAGGTGGAATTAGTCATATCCACAATTTATGTTCCAATATCAGTATTTCTTCCCCATGATGGTTCTTTATGTGATTAGAACATTTTTCTTACTTATATAGTAACTGACTTGAGCATCAGGACTTTCTACAATGCCTGCAGTTTTATAGGTTCTTTGTAAACATTTACTGTCTTAATATGACATTTGAGTGAAAAATCATAATTCACAATGTCATGGAATTCCTAAGGCAATTCCTCCAGAATGGTCAGTTTTATATGACAGTAGGAAGACAGAACCAAAAAGTTATTTTAGATTGCAGCAGATTGAGGGATGAGATTGTTGTATCCATAATTAACTGTGAAAGACAACCTATAGCAAGAGTACTGAGAAGAAGCCTACTTCTTACTGAAGGGTGGTGGATAACTAACCTATTAATTATTACCCTGTATGAAGGGAACTTGAGGGAAGAGAACCTTGACCTCAGTGCTTTGTAAAGTTTCTGTAAGTTATTTCTTGTATGGGGAGTTGTTTAGATTTGCCAACTTGCCAAAATATGTAGATTTAGGGTACTCAAAGAGAACATATTCTCTTAGTTATTAAACAGTAAAGAAGTCGGTTGATTGAGGCTCATAAAGGATGCTGTTCTCCTCTCTGGAGACCCAAGTCAAGGTCATTGTGCAGCAGACACTCCCTGACCTTCTTTCTTAGTTCCTGTCCTGGTTTCTGCTCCTAAGATATGGCCATTCTAATGGTGAAAGGGATGTATGAAAGGTTTGCATTAGCTTCCTCGCACTGCTTTTTTTTCTGAGGTGCATGCCAATTTCCTTCTTGCCTTCTCAGTTTGGGAAACCTCTGATCATGAGATGTCCTTCTCCAGGCCAGTCACATGGGAACAAAGACATGACGAGAGCTCACTATGTGGAATAAAGAGGACTAAGGGAAGAAAAGCATGTTCATCTACGAAGGATCTCTTTTCTCCTCCACTAACATTTCCATCCAATAATTGATGCCTTTCAGTTTCCAAGAGACTCTGTTTTTGTTGAGTAGACTAAGGAACAGCTTAAGATGCCTGGGCCAAATACATAAGATTCCATGAACTAAGAAATAAGGTTACTCTCCAAAGAATTTTATTGTACCCTAGTTGATCATCACGAATATGTTGGTGGGCTACTTTCTACTTGGGTGAGACAGGATATTTGAGACCTAGGTGGCTACAAAACTTGCAGTGCAAAATTTCATACAAGGTGATTCTCTTTATCTTTAAAATTATATTTATGTGTGTTATAGGCAATATATCTATGAGTTTAGCAAATATATATCTATTGGTTATAATAGAAAAGCTCCCTTACTTTCTTGGCCCCAAAGTTTTCCTTATTGAAGACAACATTTCCAAAATTGAAGACAATTTTTCCCCATCCTTCCAGATTCATTTTGTATATGCATATCCAGGAAAATATATACACTGTGACCTTTGGTTCAATTATGAATACCTAGGTGGAAAAAAAAAGTAGAGACAACTCTTCTAAATAAAAGTAAAATTTCAGAGCCAGTTTTCAAGAAATCATCAGACTGATATATAACTGCAATTTCTTCACTTAAATGTGTTTATTTGCATTTTAACTGAATTTTTTGCAGTTTTAAGTGCCAAAATAAGTAGCTCTCCTTTGAGAAAATTGCTGATTCAAGGAAAAGAGCTCTTGGATATATTTCCTAAGATGTAGAAAATAATAGTATGCCATACACACTTCCTCGTATTCAACTTTTTCTTCAAAGCCCTTTATTAAAATTTAGACATCATTTCATCCGTACATTGTTAAAGATAAACTCTAGAATGTATAGATATTTTCTTATATCATTCCAATGTCATTATCACACCTAAGACAGTTAATTCCTTGGCATCAATCAAATATAAAAAATTTTCAAATTTTACTGATTTCTAAACTATTACTTTTTTACAGATGGGGTTTAGCTAAGTTATTCAGGCTACACCATAACTCATAATTCTTCTGCCTCAGCCTCCTGAGTAGGCAGGATTATACAAGTATATGCTGTACCTGATAATAGTACTTTTTAAAAAATTTTATTTGACTTAGGATTTAAACAAAGTCTACACATTGCTTTTGGTCATTCAATTGTTAATCATTTTAATCTGGAACAGACCTTAGTCCACCTTGAATGTCCCACATTCTGGATTAGTCTGTGTGTTTTCTCATTGTATCATTTAACAAGTTTCTCTATTTCCTGTAAACCAGATCTTAGTTTTAGTTATGTTAAGTTCAACTTTTATGGTGTATGTGTGGGTGGGTGAAAAGCTTCTTTACAGTGCTGCTGTGTGGTTCCTATTTATTGTCCTAGAAGGTATGTGACAGCTGGCCATTCTATCTCCCTGGGGGTTTAACTCAAGTGTCTCAAACAGTAGCTCAAGAATCAAGTCCAGTCTGCTGTCTGCTTTTGTAAACAAGGGATTATTGGAACATAGCCACACTATCATCATCTCTGATCTCTTTTGTGCTACTAGGACAGAATTGAATAGTTGTGGCAGAGGCAGTGCGGTTCACCACATTGGAAATATTTATTACCTGGCATTTTGCAGAAAAAGCTTGTTGATCCCTGGTTTAGTGCATTCATGTGATGACAAGCTTGTCCTCCAAATGAGGAACCAAAGGCTCTAAATGTCAAATTGACTTGAATAAGATCCCATCGTGGAGGAGGCAGAGCAATGGAGCCTGTTTTCTGCTTTTCCCCCCACCTTCTGTCCTCATACTGAGGCACTCAGTATCCTAAACATCAGGTAGTCAGGCATCGATGGCCCTTGCATTCTTCCTTAGTGTGACCCACTGGCGTTCTATCAGACCTACAACTCAGCTGCTTGAATAGGACAAGCAGAAGAAGTATAATCTTGTGCTTTTAGCTGTAAGTAACAGAAAATCAAACTTAAACAGGAAATGGTTAGCTCTTGTATTTAAAGTCATTGGTGACCTCAAGGGCCCAGGATCATTCTGTCTCTATCCTCTGCTTAGATTTGTATTGATTTCATGTTCAAGTTAATTCCTCTTCTGACTGTGGATGGTAGTCAAACTGGGGATATGTGCATTCTTGCTACTCCCAGCAAAACAGAGACCTGAGAAACCTTGCTTTCAAACACGACCTATGAGTCCTTTCCCTTGGTTTGATTAGGCCCCCTGTCCATCTCTGGACTAATAATGATGGGGGACAGATGGATGCTAGTTGTGGAAAGAGAACTTAAGTTTAGGGAATAATTCTATAAAATTGGCCTACTGTGCTGACCCCCACATATCTTCTTCTCCAAGAAGTGACTTGCCTGCAGCCCCGCCTTGCTTAAGTGGATGAATATATTTCATTCCTCAGCAAACTACCTGTTATCTGCAGGAGAAATGCAGGCTCAAAATAATTCAGATAAGAGGAACACAAGTTACCCTGAAGGGGGAGATTTTCGTGACCCTTTTCACAGAACTCTCTTTCATCAGAGAGATAAGGATAATTCCTCCTAACCATGAAATCGAGACCCCTCCACCCTGGGTGCCTGGGGGAGCTCCACACACCACTGAAGCCAGGGTCAAGGGGACTGCCCCTTAAGGGGCCCTCCACACTGGGTGGCAGGAGGAGCTCCATACTCCACCCCAGCCAAGGTCGAGGGCACTCCCTCTTCCAGGGGAGAGACCCCTCCACTCTAGGTGTTAGGGGAAGTTCTGCATGACTCTGCAGTCAGGTCCAGGGGACTCCCCCCTCCAGGGGGGATACCCCTCCACATTGGGTGCCTTGAGGAGCTCCTTACTCTGCCCCAGCCAGGGTTGAGGGCACTCCCCCATCCAAGAGCGAGATCCCTCCACCCTGGGTCCTGGAGGTTGCTCTGCAAGCTGCTGCAGCCAGGGTCTAGGGGACTCCCCTCTCCAGGGGTGGGACCTCTCCACCCTAGGTGCCAGGAAGCTCTGCAAGCCGCTGCACCCAGGCTTGAGGGGACTTGCCCTCCAGGCGTGAGACCTCTCCACCCTGACAGCAGAAGGAGCTCTGTATGCTGCTGCAGCCAGGGTGGAGGGCACTGCCCCCTCCAGGGGCAAGACCTCTCCACCCTGGGTGCTGGGGGTGGCTCCACACTTGCAGCCAGGGTCGAGGGGACACCCCTCTCCATGGGTGGGACCCCTCCAACCTAGGTGCCAGGGCAAGCTCTGCAAGCTGCTACAACCAGGCTCCAGGGCACTCCCCCCTCCAGGCTTGAGACCCCTCCACCCTGAGAGTGGGGGGGGGAGGGGGGGAGCTCTGCAGGCCTCATCATCCAGGCTCTAGGATACTCCCCCTTCAAGGGCGAAACCCCTCCACCGTGGGTGCCAAGGGGAGCTCTGTTCGCCGCCCCAGCCAGGGTGGAGGGCACTTTCTCCTCCAGCGGCGGTACCCCACCACTCTAGGGGCAGGGGGAGCTCTGCAAGCTGCTGCAGCAAGATTCCAGGGGACTCCCTTCTCCAGGGGCGGGACCCCTCCACCCTGGGTGCCTGAAGGAGTCGGCACACCACTGCAGCCAGGGTCAAGGGCACTCAACCCTCCAGGGTGAGACCTCTCCACCTTGGGTGCCAGGGTGAGCTCTACACGCCACTGAAGCCAGGGTTGAGGGGACTCCACCCTCCAGGTGCAAGACTCCTCCACCATGGGTGCCAGGGGTAGCTCTGCGCACTGCTGCAGCCACGGTAAGTCAAGGGGACTTTCCATTCCAGGGGCTAGAGGCTTCCACCCTGGGTGCCAGGAGGAGCTCCTTACTCCGCCCCAGCCAGGGTCCAGGGCACTCCCTTCTCCAGTTGGGGAGACCTCTCCACCCTTGGTGCCCTGGAGCTCCGCACACGCCTCCACAGCCAGGGTCTGGTGCACTCCCCCCTCCACAGGGGAGACCCCTCCACCCTGGGTGACAGAGGGAATTCCACATGTAGCCTCAGCTAGGGTGGAGGGGACTTCCCCCTCCAGGGTCCAGACCCATCCACCCTGGGTGATGGGGGAGCTCCATAGGCACGCAGCCATCACATCCAGGCTCCAGGGGACTCTCTCCTCCAGGGGAGGGACCCCTCTACCCTGGGGTCTTGGCGTCGCTCAGCATGCCACTGCAACCAGGATTGAGGGGACTCTCCCCTCCAGGGGCTAGATCTTTTCACCCTGGGTCCGGGGGAGCACGAAACGCCACAGCAGCCAGGGTCCAGCGCACTCCCTGCTCCAGAGACCAGACCCCTCCACCCTGGTTACCTGGGGGAGTTCCGCATGCCACTGCAGCCAGGGTCGAGGGGACTCCTTCCTCCAGGTGCAAGAGCCCTCCACCATGGTGCCAGGGGTAGCTCCGCACAAACACCCGCGCGTCACCATAGTCCCCACGTGCTCCACGCCCCAAGAGCTAACCTCAACCTGCAACAAGAGGCAGTTCAGCCCTCCAGCTGCCCCCACCTCCACTGGACTCCAGCCCACCTGTGCTGCCATCCTGGCAACCTCTGGGGAGGGGCAAGGGTCGCTGCACCAGTCTGAGGGGAGGGATCCCTGGCCATGCCATAGCTGCCACCCCTCAACCTTTGGGCCTTCCACCATCTACAACCCTTCCCAGATGATCGGGAAACCTCATTGGGTCAGGAGGGGGACCAGTGGGACCTGGATCACAGCCCCAGTGCCAGCACTCAACAGTCCCCCCAGGACCTACGCATGCACCAGGCCCGCAGTTCCCGCGCCTATTTCTCCCGCATCTGGTGCAAGCACGTGCAATTTGCATGCGCACGCAGGCAGACTTTGCACAGGCACGCGGAATTTGCACGCGCGCGTCCGTTATTGGCGCGAGCCTGACTCTTGTCCAGTGTGGACGGTTTTCCTCACGTGCTCGCCTGTTCTCCACTCATTCCTTCCTCAGCTGCGTCCTGGCAACAGGTCTGACAGCCATTTCTCCTGAAGCTGCTTGGGTAGCTGAAGAAGGACCTTCTGTGATCCTGTGATCGAGGCTAGAATTACGGACTAGCGCCTTTGCTAAGACTGCCATGGGGACTTCCCACAGCAAGTGTTGTCCCTCATCCCTGCCCCCGGCACTGGGGGGCAGAGACCTGCCAGAAGGGTCCCACAAGAAGCCCGGTCGTGGCCCCCGCCGACTTCCCTCTACTGGTTGGCCACTCCGGGCTGCCTGGGCCAGTGCCACCACTCGCAGGTCATCTTGCCGCCACCCTGCAACTGCTCCTCAGCAGTTGCAAAAAGTGCCTCCTCGGTGCTTTTCCAGGGTCCTGCGGTCGGACCCTTCGATTTTTTCTTAGAGACTTGGGCATTGCCACCTCCCTCCGCATGCCTGGTCTCCTGAAAAGGATGCTGCTGTCAGCTGCAGCTTTCATGGGTTCCTGCAGCCCAGGCCGCAGACCCTGCCAGCAGTCGCCTTGTAGGGCGCAGGGGCAGGAAGTGGCTCCTTGCCAGCTTCCAGTACCCCAAGAACCCTGCCCAGGGAGGACTGTGATCACAGCCCCTGGAGACAGAGGCCAAGTGGTGGCTGAGCAAGCCGAGCACCCTGTAGATAGAGACCATCAGAGAGGACGTCCCCAGGCCACTGGAAGAGCACAATTTACTTTGAGGCCCCTGGGAGCCCATAGCTGTGTGCCTGCCTTTGTGCTGAGGCCTGGGGCTCTGCAGGCAAACCTCTGCCCCCAGAGCTCCCAAGACAGAGCTGAGAGCTCCCGGGCCACCTGCATGAGCTCCTGCCCCAAAAGAAACCCCATCAGCAGCTCCTACAGCTCTACGCAAGGTCTCCGAGCCCTGAAGAGGAGGGCTCCAGACCTATCCAAAGGGGAGCCACCCCTGGGATGCTCTTCATCCCCAGGGATTCCCCCAAAGAAGGCCCAGGGTGAGAAGGTGGCAGAAGGCAGGGTGGGACAACCATTGCTCAGGAAGAAGTCCTCACCCGCAAGAGACACCGGTAGGCCACGGAAACGCAAGTTTCCTCTCCTGCGCCGCCGCCAAGGGGAACCTCTGAAGCTGCCACCACCTCTGGAACTGGCCTGTCCAGTGACTGTTGAGGACCTAGACCGGGAGAAGAAGAAAGCTCTGCAACGCATCAACCGTCTTCTGATGGGTGAGACCCAGGCCATTGGGGGCAGCTGTACCATAGCCCCACAAGCCCATGGGGGGGATCCCTCTCCACTGGGAGGGGCCAGGCCTCTGGCATCAGTGGGCCTCAGTCAGACCTTTCCCCATCCCCCCAGCAGCACCACCGTGGTGGCCCACACCCCAGTGTGGGTCAGCTCTGCTGTCTCTTCCCAGAGCCATCCTCCCATCTCCAATCGTACAGGACCGCTCTTCCCCAGCCTGCCAATTGCTGCTTTCGCCCTTCCTCCCAGGCCATCTCTCAGCACATTGGCAGGCTTGGCTGCACAGCCAGTGGCCCCCTTTGGGGTCACACCCCCACATCTGGGGCCTCCCTCCACTCTGGGTAGGCGCTTCCCGCACTCTCACCAGGGCCCAAAGCCCTACTGTACACACAGGCCCTCACCTGTAGCAAGCTCCAGCTCTCCAGCTCACGGGGTGCGAGGACACATTCCGCAGGGGAAGCAGCCTCTCACCCCTGGAGCCACCGTCCCACCCGTCCCTGGGGTTCCTGGTGGGATGAAGCCCAGAGCCCCCAGCTTTGTCAGCTGTCATCAGCTTGGACACGTGGGAGCTCCAGGTCCAGGGGCAGCTCCGATGCCACCCTTGACTGTGGGCCCAACAACCTTGGGCAGCCTAAACTACTCAGCCCTTGGGGCTGACAAACATAAAAACACCACCATGGGTGCTCATGCCAGAACCCAGACACACTCAGTGACCTCAATGGCAGCTACGAGGACAGACTTGTCCTTGGGTCGGACATCAACCAAGAAAGTACCAAGCTCAGAAAGTAGAGAAACCCCCAAAACTAGAGAGCACCGTGGGGCAAATTTGGGAAATGACACCTACACTGCCCCTAGCCAGAGCACCACCATGGCACCCCGAAAACACACAAAAGAGGGTAAAAAAGGGCAAGGAAAGAGTGGAGTTCCTACCCCGAGTGCCATCCCTCAAAGCCTGCCCACCCAGAAACACCAAAGCTCACCTAAGGGGACAAGCACTACAAAGGATAGCTCTAGTTTCCCTTCAGTCCCTGGGACATCAAGGAGATCAGAGAGCCCAGATTTGCTCCCTGAACTGATGTCAGCCTTTGGGGCCTGGTGTAGCTCCTCCCAAAGAGGAGAAACCCCAAGCAACAGCCAGCAACATGGGGCAAGGTTGGAATAGAACACCTCCAGTGCCCCTAGACAGAGCACCACCATGGCACCCAGGAAACACACAAAAGAGGGCAAAAAAGGGGAAGGAAACAGTGGTGTTTCTACCCCAAGTGTGATCCCTCAAAGCCTGCCCACCCAGAAACACCTAAGCTCATCTCAGGGGACAAGCACCACCATAAAGGGTATCTCTAGTTTGCCTTCAGCCCCTGGGACTTCAAGGAGATCAGAGAGCCCAGACTTGCTCCCTGAACTGATGTCAGCCTTTGGTTCCTGGTGTAGCTCCCCCCAAAGAGGAGAAACCTCAAGCAACAGGCAGCAACATGGGGCAAGTTTGGAACAGAACACCTCCAGTGCCCCTAGACAGAGCACCAACATGGCACCAGAAAAACACACAAAAGAGGGTAAAAAGGGGCAAGGAAACAGTAGTATTCCTGCCCCGAGTGCCATCCCTCAAATCCTGCCCACCCAGAAACACCTAAGCTCACCTTGTGGGACAAGCAGTGCAGCCAGAAAGGATACCTCTAGTTTCCCTTTGGTCCCTGTGACATCGAGAAAAACTGGGAGCCCAGACTTGCTCCCTGAACTCATTACAGCTTTTGAGGCCTTGTGTATCTCCTCCCAAAAAGGAGGGACCCCAAGCAACAGGCAGCAACATGGGGCACGGTTGGAACAGAACACCTCCAGTGCCCCTAGCCAGAGTTCCACCATGGCACCGGGGAAACACACAAAAAAGGGAACAAAAGGGCAAGGAAACACTGGTGTTCCTACCCTGACTGCCATCCCTCAAAGTCTGCCCACCCAGAAACACCTAAGCTCACCTTGTGGGACAAGCAGTACAGCCGGAAAGGATACCTCTAGTTTCCCTTTGGTCCAAATGACATCCAGAGGATCTGGGAGCCCAGACTTGCTCCCTGAACTCATTATAGCTTTTGAGGCCTTGTGTATCTCCTCTCAAAGAAAAGGGACCACAAGCAACAGGCAGCAACATGGGGCACAGATAGAACAGAACACCTCCAGTGCCCCTAGCCAGAGCACCACCATGGGGACCAAGGGACAGAAAGCAAGTCACACACTAGTGAAAGCAACCACTGGTGTGGCCACAGTTATTGCCATCCCCCAAAGTCTGCCCACACAGAAAGGCTTAAGCTCTCCTGGGGGAACCAGCACCACACCCCAGAAATTGACCTCTACTTTGAAGTCCACCCACAATCCATCTGTGAGACCTGGGGGTCCAGATTGGCTCCCAGATCTGATCTCTGCCTTTGGGGCCATGGTCATCAGCCCAAGTGGAGAAACAAGAAGCATGAGAAAGTGCTAAGAGCACACTTGGGCTTTAACACCTTCAGCCCCACTACCCAGATAGGGTGATGCTAACTTCTTTAAGGACTGACCCTGCCTAGATGCCAACAGTCCTCCACTGCCCTCAGCTGGCCTCAGCTGGCCTCAGCTGCCTCCACTCCATGGGGTCACTGGGCATCCTGTCCCATCCACCATAGGATGGTGAGTGTGGCATGCTCTGCCCCTTGAAGACTTGTGAGAGCACTTTGGCCAGGGCACCCACCTCAGTGGGGCAGGGCCATGTCCCCTAAGACAACAACCCATGGGAGCAATCCCAAGGTCAGCCACTTGCTCTGTCTCAACCTACACTCCCTCTCCTCTTCTTGTCTCTAAACACAAAGAATCTTAACTGTCTTAACCATGACGACCCTGAAAATGATGGAACCCTTTTGGCACATCTTTGTCTAATGCTGTCATAATTAGAGCTCACAAACGGCAGACAAGAGTCATCTCTTCAGAGAGCCCAGTGGAGGCTCTTGTTCTTCACCAGGCTGTCACCCCAATACTCCCCAGTCCAACAGAAATCTAATTAGACTGTGCCTGTTACAGGAGCAGCAGAAAAGCCCCAGGCGCAGGTTCCCCTGCAGCCTCCCAGAACCAGTTAGGAGACCTGCATGGCACTCACCACTGTCTCCATCCCCCACAACACCTGGTTCCATTCCTGGTCAGGGACGTTCCCCTCACATTGTTCTGCTCATAGTTGTTGTGGTTCTGTCCTGGTCAGGTTTTAAATCAGGAACACAGTGAACTTGGAGGCTGAGTTTAGACAAGTTCCTTCCACGTCTAGGCTTTGGAATATTTTGGGTAATGTGATACTGGTGTTATTGCTTCTCCTAGAATCTGGTCAAATTCAGCATTGGCATCACTGGGACCTGAGCTTATCTCTGTCATAAGATTTTGCTGCAGTCTCCTTACTTGTCCCTTCTATTATCTGAATGTTTATATCTTCTTGATTCATTTTGGTCCCTACATTTGTCTGTTTCTCCTAGATTTTTCAACATATTTGCATGTAGTTGTTCAAAATTCTCCCTAATGATCCTATGAATTTCCTTGGTATCTGTTGTAAGACCTCCCTTTTCAAGTTTCAATGTCTTGGTTTGGCTCTAATCTCTTTTTCTTTTGTTAATTTAGCTAGAGTTTTGCCACCTATGCTTTATGCTTTCAAAGAACTACTCTTTGTTCCCTTGAACTTGGGTGTTGCTTCTTTACTTTCTATTGCATTTTTTCACCCTAATCTTGATTATCTCTTTCCTTCTCCTGATGTTAGACTGGTTTTTGTTTTCCTGAGGCATCACCAGGAAATTTACTTGAGGTCTCTCTCTTTTGTCTTTAGGTGCAGTTTCCTGTAGTCTTTCCTTTTCATAGTGCTGTTTCTGGATCCCACAAGTTCTGATATGTTGTCTTTCCAAATTCTTCTGATTCTAGGGATTTTTCACTTGATTGATGGTGTGAGGCATAATCCTCAAGTGTTTGTGAGGTTTCTGTAGGTTCTTCTGCTCTTAGTTTCTGGTTTAATTTCATCGAGATTGGAAAGCATATAAGATTTTTTGGTGTTTTTAAAAACTTGCTTTATGGCCTAATACATAATATACCTTGGGGAATGTTCCTTGTGCTGGTGAGTGAAATGTGTACCCCACAGTTGTTGCATGGCCTATTCTATCAATGTCTGTTAAGTCCACTTGTCCCAAGTGTCACTTAACTCTGACATTCCCTTGTTGATTGTTCATCTGGAAGATTAACCTCCTGGAGAGAAGGGCTCTGAAGTCCCCCAGGTTGTTTTTTTTTTTTTTTTCCTGGAGCCTTTGGCTTCCTTTTTGTCTAGTAGTGTTTGATAAAATTGGGTACTCCAACATTGAGATATATATATATATATATATATATATATATATATATATATATATATATATATATAACATTGTGATATGATACCTTCTTCCTGTGTTTCCCTTGATGAAGTTACAGTACCCTTGTTTGTCTCTTGTGCCTGGCTTTGGCTTCAGTGTGTTTGTCATATATAAGCATAGTGACTTCTCCCTACCTCCACACTCCACTTGCTTGGAAAATTATTTTCCATCTTTCCATTTTCACTCTTGCTCACTTTCGCAGGGGAGGGGAGTTTCTTGTGGGAAGTAGATTTTAAAAAAAATTCAATCTATCCCTGTATCTTTAAATTGAAGAATAAAGACCATGTGTACTCGAGGTTATTCTGAAAGGTATGGAATGTTTCTTATATTTTGTTGGCTTTCTTTCTTTCTTTTTTCTTTCTTTCTTTCTTTCTCTTTTTGCTTGTCATTTTGGTGAAGATGGAAACATGGAATGCTCAGATGTTTCAGGGTTTTCTAAATTGATGACATATGACACTCTCATTTCTCAATTGTGTATCTATTCTTCTAGAGACACTTCCTGAGCTCTCACAGTTGTGTTCATCTTTCTTCCTCTTCTGTAAGATTCTTTAAGCATCTTTCCAGCTGGTTTAGTGCCCATGAATTCTGTTAGGATCTTCTCATCTTGGAAGGTCTCTAACTCTCTTCCAGTTCTGAAGGCTAGTACTATGTTCCTGGGTGCAGTAATCTAGGTTGGTACCTCTGTTCTTTCAATGCTTGTAATACATCACTCCTGCTCATGACCTGCATGGGGAGGGAGGAGGAAACCACTGAAGTGTTTGTGAGGTTTCTGTAGGTTCTTCTGCTCTTAGTTTCTGGTTTAATTTCATTGTGATTGGAAAGCATATAAGATTTTTTGGTATTTTTAAAAACTTGCTTTATGGCCTAATACATAATATACCTTGGGGAATGTTCCTTGTGCGGGTGAGTGAAATGTGTACCCCACAGTTGTTGCATGGCCTATTCTATCGATGTCTGTTAAGTCCACTTGTCCCATAGTGCCACTTAACTCTGCCATTCCCTTGTTGATTGTTCATCTGGAAGATTAACCTCCTGGAGAGAAGGGCTCTGAAGTCCCCCAGTTTTTTTGTTTTTTTGTTTGTTTTTTTTTTCTGGAGCCTATGGCTTCCTTTTTGTCTAGTAGTGTTTGGTAAAATTGGGTACTCCAACATTGGTATATATATATATATATATATATATATATATATATATATATATATATATATATATGACATTGTGATATGATACCTTCTTCCTGTGTTTCTCTTGATGAACTTAGAGTACCCTTATTTGTCTCTTGTGCCTGGCTTTGGCTTCAGTGTGTTTGTCATATATAAGCATAGTGACTTCTCCCTACCTCCACACTCCACTTGCTTGGAAAATTATTTTCCATCTTTCCATTTTCACTCTTGCTCACTTTTGCAGGGGAGGGGAGTTTCTTGTGGGAAGTAGATTTTAAAAAAATTCAATCTATCCCTGTATCTTTAAATTGAAGTATAAAGACCATGTGTACTCGAGGTTATCCTGAAAGGTCCGGTATGTTTCTTATTTTTTGTTGGCTTTCTTTCTTTCTTTCTTTCTTTCTTTCTTTCTTTCTTTCTTTCTTTCTTTCTTTCTTTCTTCCTTCCTTTCTTTTTTCGCTTGTCATTTTGGTGAAGAAGGAAACATGGAATGCTCAGATGTTTCAGGGTTTTCTAAATTGATAACCTGTGATAACATGTGACACTCTCATTTCTCATTTGTGTATCTATTCTCCTAGAGACACTTTCTGAGCTCTCACAGTTGTGTT